TCACGGTGGCTGTTCCTTTTTTGGGTGTGATATTACTGGTCGCTGATGATTCTCCTTCCATTTAAAAATCTTTCATAACATTAAATCAAGATAGAATTACATCACTTTCCCTCTTCCCTTTCCTCCCTTCAGTGCCTCCCAGGTCATCCCCCTCCAACCACTCTCATGACTCCCACCTCAAATTGATTGTCTATTTTTCTTTCACTGTGACTGTTACATACATATATGTTTATGGGTCTGTATGCAGAAATACTAATTCTCCCTCCAGCAGTCAGCTGCTTTTACTTCTTTGTCGAGGCATGGAACTGTGGCAAATGTTTTCCCTTCCATGTTAGCAAGTCTATTGATACTGCCATTGGTCACATCCTATTTATGTAGCCCCTTTTCTGGTAGAGACTGTTTAACAAGAGACTTGCCTCCTTCCAGTTGACTTTCTCTGCTTTGTTTTCTGTTGGAGATTATGATCTCTCAGCTTTCTTCAGATACATACTGCTGCCTGGCTTTGCCAATCATTATGGACTCATTATGGACACCCCTCCCTTTGGAATAGTAAGCTAATTAACTCTTTTTTCCATTAGTTGCTTTTGGTCCTAGTGTTTATCTTAACAGCAGAAAAATAACTAATATAGGGAGCAAGTGGAAACAGAGCAAAGAAGATAATTCAAGAACTGAATTATAGGGTATTCTATGCTAAATATTAGAAGTACAGGGCCACTGAGGTAGGAGAGATATACCTATATTGTTTTGGAAGTCACTACTGGTAAGAAGGTTTCTCTTTCCTGGTACTGGGGTTTTTGTTAGATAGACTATGGCTCTTATGGAGAGCATTACTAGCTGAAAAGATCAAGGGAAAAGGGAACTCTGAAACCAAAGTGAAGAAGAAGAATCTAAGAAAACCACATGACCAATGGTAACTAAACAACTGTATTACTAAATCATTAAATTCATATATAAAATTCTGTTATCACATTTATTAGTTCAAATGTCTTTGATGTTATTTATAGAAATAGTTGTGGTGGGAAAAAAGAACAGTGATTGGTTTGGTAGGAAAAAAAGGAGGAAAAGAAATTGAGGAATATATACCTAAGCTACAGATTAGAAGCATGGATAGTTCTTCCACAAGATCAAGAAAGGGGAAGACAGACACTACTAAAAGAGAATGGACACAGTGGTGGCAGGCTGTGATATTTATCCTGCCTCTTTCCCTCTATTTCATTAGTGAATTCCCTCAATTAGGCCACTAGCTAAAGTTTGGGGCTGGGGGGAAGAATATTAGAGAAGTTATTTAAGAAAGAAGGAAAGCGATTGGATCATGAAAGTGTATTCTGCCCAACAATTAATCTGCTGTCCAGTTAGGTTAGTAATAATGAATACAAAATCAACCCCAAGGGCACATTAATGAGTGGTTCTCCATTTTCAAGAGTGTGGGTATGAAAGAGGAATTAAACAGAAAGTTGGATTTAAGTCAGCGAGATTGGCCAACAAAGAACAACAAACAGAAAGAGGAACGGGGGACTTAGGAGCACACAGAAGTAATGACCACAGGAAGCCACTGAGGTCAGTATGGGAGTGAGAAAATGAGTGCTAACTGTCTCTTGCATCCTGTGCTGTGACTCTAACACCCTGTGTCTCTGAGTGCACCCTGCCTTGGGAAAAGGGACTTTGCAGGTGAGATCCAGTTGAAAATCCCAAAGGTTTCAGTAGTGTTTGAAGAACAGAAGACAAACACAGGAGACAGGGTGGTAGACCTTGGCTCAACTTGGCACTTTAGAGTAAAAGGACCCAAAAGTGTGGCCAGTTTCTTTCTTGTCTAAATGCTGGAAATGCCCTTGTGTATGTCTGAAGCCTTGTTCATCCCAGAAGTAAAAAAAACGCTACATGCATCTAAGTCAAAAATATGTCTGGTTCTGCTGGGGCCAGAGAGTGGAGATGCCAGGAAGAGGTGAGGTGTTTCCTTATCTCTTTTCTCCTAAAGTATGGTTCCTGGAATCTATTCTGAGCATTGGACTGAAACTGGGACCTACCGGAACACCAAAGAATAGGAACTGGGCTAATAAGACCAGTTTATCCCCATCTCTCCTTCCTCCATCCACTAAAGCTTTATTAACTCCAAGGCAAGGTTGCCTGTTCTAGGAACTCCTCCAGCTATTTAAGTGCTCTTTATTATTTATCTCTCCTAAGCTCCCTACAATAAAATGTTTCTCTAAAACTCATCTTCTATGGTCTGTGAATTTAATTTTTCAGATTCACAAGACAGGCACTCAAAAAACACTGTAGCTTTGGTAGCCATTGAGTTTCTGGGACCTTAACTTCCCAAGCAAAATACAAGAGTCAAGAAAGGTTTCTCTGCTTTCAGTCAGATATTCCCACATCAGTAACAGAGGCAGAGAAGACCTCCATCACGCTATTCACAGAAAGCCAGAGGTCCTGACTGGACCCAGGAAGTAGAAAAGGAGAGGATAGATCCTCCTATGTGGTCCTCTGATAAGCCTTGACCTGCCCATTCCTGGATGCCCCATGCTGGCTAGTTTTATGTCACCTTGACAGCCTACAGTCATCTCAGAGGAGGAAATCTCAACTGAGAAATGACTCCATAAAATCCAGCTGTAGGGCATTTTTTTATACTAGTGATTGATGGGGGAGGGCCCATCCCTTTGTGGGTGGGGCCATGCCTGGGCAGGTGGCCCAGGGTTCTATAAGAAAGCAGGCTGAGCAAACCATGGAGAGCAAGCCTGTAGGCAGCATGCCTCCATGCCCTGCTTTCTGCTTCAGCTTTGGATGAGGACCTTCCTTTGCAGCGGAGCAGAGTGGAGTTGTTACACTCGCTCTCCACTCTCCCGGGAGCAGAGCTGAGCTGTAGCAACTTTGCCTGGGAAACCTCCTGTCTGAGCAAAACTGCTACACTGGGCAAACATCCTCGTCTGGAAGACCCTCTCCTGCCGGAGCAGAGCGGATACACTGGGAAAGCCTTTCCCTGAGGCCAGGCTATAAGCTGCTAAGCTTACTGAGGCCTGTGGTAGTCCTTGGCTCCTGAGCTCCAGGATACCTTTCCACCTGAGCTGTGTAACACTCAGTATTCTGTGACTCCCGAGCTCCAGGATACTTTCCCACCTGAGCTGTGTAACACTCAGTATTCTGTGACTCCCAAGCTCCAGGATACCTTTCCATCTGAGCTGTAACACTCAGTATTCTGTGACTCCCGAGCTCCAGATTACCTGACCCACTAGAGCCAGCCTGAAATGCTTACACTATCCTAATTGCAAACCAAAATTAGTTTAAGGAATTTTAAAAATGAAATTCAAGTCAGCAGTTCAAACATACTTTTTAAAAAAGTCAAACATTTTATCATAAAACAATACAAATATATGATCATTTGATGCAGACTGAAGAAAGACATCAGGAAAGCATGAAAACTCTTTGTTTTCTGTAATTAAACCACTTTGCTTCTATTAAGAAAAGTGCCGTTAAAACCCTGCCAATCCTTAACACGACATTGCCTGGATTCTGAGCCTGTGCTTCAGGCTGTGTTGGCGGGCACTGTGGACCACAGGGGCATGCTCAAGGCCAAGTGGGCATGCCATGTGTGTAGAACCAAGGTTGCACTGGTGTGTTGGGTCTCAAGTTGGACTCCACCAGAGCACCTCAGATTTGGCAACCATTTCATCATTTTGAATTAGTGCTGGCCTTTAAACACTCAGAAACTTTGCACTGTTGGTACATTTTTTGTCACCCCCTCCTATGGAGGTAGGCAATGCCATTTGGGGGGTCACATGCACAGTTAAACGAGTGGGGCTCTAGAATTTGAAGGTGAGAATGAGAGTGTGGAATAGGATATGATCCAGACTGTGTTTACGAAGCCCCAAGAAATGTTGAAATGTTAGCTATGTTCTCTGTAGTCATGTTAGTAAATTTTTACAATTTACAAGTGGAAAAAGGGAGTCCTGTTAGAGAGGGATTTGAGAAACACTGAAATAGTCCAAATTACACTCAAAGGGGAGAATTACTTCCTTTTTTCTCTTTTGCTAGAGATAAATAAATCCCATATCCTTTTGCATGGTATACATCATTCCCCCATTGATAGCCAATGGCCACTTGTAGACATATTGAAAGATATTTGATCTCCCCCTACTTCTGATGGCAAAGGCCAGTTTGAGCGCTAAAGTATTTAGTCTTAAAAAAGTCCAAACATCATTGATTCCTGTTTATTGTTTGTCTGTTCTCTTTTCTTTCTGTTGATATGGCATCTTACTCTATGTCCCATTTTAAAAGGTGGTGGTCGTGACATAATTTAATCCTTGGACTGTCCGTAGAAATCTCATTTTAAAGACCAAATATTTAGTTCCATAGCAGAACATGCTGAGATTAAGTGGCTTGCTCAGAGTCACAGCCCTGGAAGAACAAGTTGAACCTTCCCTTACAGGTGCAAACAAAATGTAAACTCATACTGTTGAAACTCCTTTAACATCTTTCTCTTAGGGAAAAATTTGATTTGAATTGTGTAAGGCATTCTCTTTACCTAGGATTAAGCAGCATATGCAACTGAATGCCAGAAATGAAACAAGCTATTTTGCCAAATTTCCAGAATCACAGGGTGGGTGAAAGCTATTGTTTTGTGTTTTTTCGAAACTCCACCTGAAAGGAGCCTGCAGAGCTTTGATCCTGACCTGAAAGTATTCCTGCAGATTCTAGAATCCCCACGCCAGGAATTAGCCCAAGAATATTTCTTTTAAAATGATAACAAACAAACAAATGCAACACAACAAGGCTGGCCCATTGATATCCCCAATGGCTGGCTGGAAAACTGCTTGGAAGAAGGCAGGGGATCTTTGTTACAAACTTCCTTCCCCTGCCCTGGCTCGATTTCCTTACCCCTCCCACCCCCTGTGGAGTTGTGTTTTCTGGGATCAGCAAATAAAAAAAAATCACAAGTGGTCTTTTCTTTTTTCTTCTCTCTCCCATAAACAAAGCTTTATCACGTGTGGCCTTAAACTTGCTGCAAATTGGAAAGAAATGACTCAAAGGCTCCAGCTCTTTCAGTACCCTGGGAGCTGAGACCAGGGCAGTACCCTTGCCAGGGTGCCCAATTCTCTCCAGACTGCCAGGAAAAAAGGAGGCCAACTGGAAAGGCGAAAGAAAGATTGCCCCCGGGGTGAGACCAGACCCTTGGTCTTGTCTTTTCTTTCCCTAATCTGTTCTGCTGTGCCCACCACTCCTTTGACTTGGCAGAAACACTCAGAACTCCTGTTGCCTCAGTTTCCTTTTTTTCAGGCGGTGCCCAGGGCTATCCAGCCTTCTGCTTCACTTTTTGAGAAGAACTGCCCGGCTTTGATCTCCAGGTAAGAATGGGTTCTTCTTATTTCCATGTATTTATTCACTTATTTTTGTTTTTGATTGTGTGAGCATTGCACCTTGCTCTCCCTAGGAGAGAAGTTGATAATTTGACATTGACTTCTGCCAGACAATGTTTTATAAAACCATAGCACTTCATTAAACGGTGATGGGTTCCCTGTGTTAGCTTGGTGAAATAGGAGAGGAGTGTGTTAGAGAAGCCAGGTAAACTCAGGTCTGCTTTCCAATTTGGGTTTTGATGTTTATTAGTTGGGCAGCCTCTGACATTTTATAAGTAGATACCATGACTTTGAAGTTTGGGGGTTGTTTTAAAGATTACAGTATATGTATATAAATGTATGTATCACCCTGAATAGAAGTAACACTTATGAAATGTGAATTTGACAGTAAGGTCATTCATTGTTAGGGGTGGAAGGTTGGTATTCTACGTAAGGCACACTGCTTCTCAGCAAAGATCACAGGTCAGTTTTTGAGACCTCTTGAGGCGAAGGGTTTCAGAGTCAGAGCACCTATCTGGTGCAGAACTGTCTAAGAAGGAAGAGCTGGGTGTGGCTGCTTCTCTGACCTTCTCTGTGACAGCCCTTGGCTGGGGTGTATGGGTGTGACTCATTTTACCTATCTTATTTATCCATACTCATAAAGCCTAGGCTCTCAAACCAACCCATGTAAACAGAGAATTCAGCTTTATATAAACCACCAGCTCGACTTGTTTGCTTTAGAATCTGGAATATGTTATGCCCTAACCTAGGGTATTGAATGAAACTATGCCGTCTGCTCTTTTACTTTTTTATTTTAGTTTTTGGGTGAATGTAATCAAGTGGATGAAGGATATATCAGCTGTGTATCGTCCTGCTGTACAAAGGCAGAGTAAGAGATGTGGACTTAGATTGTAGAAGTCTTCCCATTCATGTCATGGCACTTTTCTCCCTATCCTTTCAAAGCCCTGAGAAGCTCACAATGCTCTCAGCCTGAAACCTGCTTAGAACATATTGCAGTCAATTCTGATTCGCATATTAGCCACTAAGATGCGATTTTGCTTCAGGGAAACTGTGTAGTGTTAATTTTCAGAGAGTGTTACTTTGTCCTGTCACAATATTGACCTAGATCAGGACATTTGCTCTTTGGTCTCACCACCAGGTCACAGTAGAATGATTGTGTCAACACTCCAAAATACAAGAAGATATCATGCTAAAACATCTCAAAATTTTAAAACATTATTTCCAGTGTGTTTTACTGTTTGGTGTCTACAGCTTATAGTCAAGCCATTTGCTCTTTTAAAGAAAGATTTTAGTTCAAGCATATTCTAGTTAACAGTGTTAGCATCATGTGTAATGGGAAGCAGTATGTCAATAACCCCTTAAAAAGGCCAACGTTAATTATATAATTTTTGGAAAGAATCACATGTTGAGTTGTAAATCTACTGTTACTCCTTTTGTGCTTTAAAATCTTTCTGACTGTATGTTTTTATGCAGTGATATTTTTAGGCTTCTAATGTCATAATGTATTTTTTGTAAAATGCATGCTTATTGTAGAAAAACTGGAATATATGCATAAACTTAACTAACATTAAAAACTTCTCTGCAATGTCATTCACTAGCAATAATGCCTTTTTTATTGAAGTCACTGCAACTTTGTTTCTCTGCCTGTAAGTTCATTTCTTATCATTCTTTTTGTCACACTGTTTTAAAAATAAATCCTTCTTTGTCCAATCTCTATATTTGTTTCTTTGCCTTACCTTTCAATGTCTTCTAAGACTTCATTGTGAGACATCACCATAATTTGTTGGCCATTTAGATCATTTGGCTGTTTGAATGTTTTTCATCCTAAGCAATGAACCTTTTTAGATGTTCTCCATCAGGTACTGGGTAGACTTCTTATTGAAAAGAATACTACTCAGCATTGCAAAAGCCTGTTTTTCCTAGTGTTTAATGGCTCTTGCAAAGCATTATTTTGGATAACCAGTCTTAGTAATTTAGTAGGTGTATAAAGTTGCTATCAGAGACTGCTAACAGCGTTTCTGCTTTTGTTTCTGTTTCTTATGTTTTATTGTAGTTGTTTTTCATTCGGAATGGAGGTTGAATGCCATCAACCACTATTACTAATCAATTGCTACATTTTTAGAATAATCCCAATTAAAGTATTGAGCAATTGATTTGGTTTTGGTAACATTTTGGGGAGTTTATAAGTCTATATGTTTGTTCTGAAGTTTCTCTTTTTATGCTGACCTCATGAGCCTTCCTAATAAAGGTCAGTTCAGTTGTATCAAAGAAATAGCATCAGTGAATCCGTTTCATTCTCTGCTTGCTTTCCTTAAAGGTGATCCATTGATAAAGAATCCTGTCATTTACTCTATGCCTTATAGTATTTTTTTAAAAAGTCCCTGCCCCTGTCTTTTAAACCCTGTCCATTTTCCATAAGATAAAGAGTAAAAACATCTACTCTATTCCTAAATTGTTTGGTCCATCTGCTCTTACTTTGATTTCAAAATGAGTTGTGCCATCATTCCTTGATTTTTTTTTTTTTTGGTTTTTACGAGACAGGGTTTCTCTGTATTGTTTCGGAGGCTATCGGTCCAGCCCGGCCTCAAACTCACAGAGATCTGCCTGCCTCTGCCTTCTGAGTGCTGGGATTAAAGGCGTGCGCCACCACCGCCTGGCTGATATTTTTTTCTAATATGAAATGTTGCCTGTGAAGCCAAATGATGAAACTCTAATAAACCAAAGAATAGGCTAACAAGGTTAAGATCATGTGTGCATAAGCAGAACAATCCTAAATTTTACAACATGCATGAAGTTTTACTCCAAATATTATTTCTGCTGTCAGTGTAATAAGGGTTAGAAGACCTCGATTTGTCTACAAGTGAGCCCCTTGTAGCCAAAAGGGACAACCACACTGTTTTAATTTTTGAATCCTGTGGCATGCATTAGATTATCAGACAAACTATGACTCATGTTAAAAGGCTAACCACGTGTAGCACAGGATGTGTAAATATTAATATGAACAAGGAGAAATAGGGTCAGACTGTGCAAAACTGTTATGAGTTTGGTCAGGAAGAAGAGAAAGGAGGAGGAGCGTGGGGAGGGTTTCCCTTCCTCTAAGGCAAACTAAAGCCTGTACTTTCATCTGAATTCAACCTAGGCTCTAGACGTTCATCGTTTGCATTCCTTCTTCATTAGCCAACTGGTACACAAATTGGACCTCTTCCTTTTTGCTTCTTTTTAATCCTTACTCGGGTGCCACGGGAATGCTAAGGTGCTTCAGGGGTCTGGGATGGTGTCAGCTTCTGCTATTCAGTGAGTCTTGGAAGCCTTAATTCTAATGAATCAATATTCAAGAGGTTGGATTTCTCTTCCCCTTCCTGCTCGCGCCCAGTTTAATCTGGCGAGACCACAAAGTCAGAAAAATTCTGCCTCGTTATTTATTCCAAAGGCAACATGGAAATTTATTCTTTGCCATAATGAGGCTCAAAGTGAAGAGATTGAAAAAGAATGCTGGCTGCAGGCTCTCAATGGCAGGATTTGTTAATTGAAAAGGGTTGCCAACTTTCTGTGCTAAGAGGAGATAACGACACTCTAAATTATACCTATAGAACTGTAGTCTACTGTGAAATGGAAATGGTTTTAAATTATGTGGGTCGGAATTAAATTGTTGTTTCCTTTTAAAATCAACTTTGACAGGCTGGGAAAAGGAACATTTTCATAATGGACACCTCATCCAAGAAAAACGCCCATTTGTTCCACAAAACTCCGGCACGACCCATCAGAAGGCAATCCCTTAAAGTGGGGTGTCCATCCCCGGAGGAAGCACGACCGTGCTGTGGCAAACTCAAGGTAGAGGGCTTGGGGGTAGTTTATATGCTGATTTCCTTCCAGATAAAATTCAGCTAGAAGAGGAAATTGCTTTCTTTTTGAAAATAGGCTCTTGACTGCAAATTATGAAGGCCAGGCAACAAGTGGTGGAATCATTTTTGCCTGCCATGCAGGCTAGAAGAATTTCTTGGGTTCCTTTGAAGGCTCTTCCTAGACAAACAGGGGAACAGTAGAAGCAGACATTTGCTAAAGAGCTACCCTGCGACGTTATCGTACTAAGTACATGCACGCTATTATTTTCCTTCTGAGGAAGAAAACTTTGGCCTTGTTACACAGAAAGTGGCAGTGTCTGTGTGTTGCAGGCCCTCCCTTCTTTCCAGCAAGTAATATTATTGGAGCAAAACAATGTTGTGTTTTAATAAATATGAACCTCAATTCACATGTATCCTGCTATACGCATAATTAAGACATGTCTATTAAAATATAAACAGCTATGGAAGAACCACTGGGAATTTAAGAATAAAGTTAACAAGTGCATACCTAAAGGACTTGGTCTCAAGAAAGCCAAACAAACAGAGAAGTAGACTGAATACTTCAGTGAGTGATGTTCCCTGCTGGGGCAAGACTGTGATTTCAAAATATATAATAGGCAAGGTTGGACCTGGGAGAAGATGACACGTGTATGGGTTACAATTTTCACCCATCAATGACTCTTTCCATGTCACTCACTGATATTCTCAAAGCTAGACTTCTCTGTAACGTCTTTTGCAGAGGGGCAGTGGAGAGATGCATTTTTCAACTGCCAAGTAGTTTAGAGGGGTTGTTTTCGGGTGAGGGGAGGGACTCTGCGTGGCCTTGAGACTAATTAGGGTTGCAACAGTGCTTGAATCAGACCATCAAGGCTAACACATTTGCTGTTCTGCAGTGCTGCTCCTCTGATTTGTTTCCTCGGTGACTTCTGAGCTATGCCAAAGCAGTCAGACCACGTGTGCCCCTTCCGTGTCTTCCAGGTGTTCGTGGGCGCATTGTCTTTTGTTTACTTTGCCAAAGCGTTGACAGAAGGCTATTTGAAGAGCACCATCACTCAGATAGAGAGAAGGTTCGATATCCCTTCCTCTCTGGTGGGAATAATTGATGGTAGTTTTGAAATCGGTAGGTATGACAGAAGCCAGAACCTTCCATGAACCCCATGGTCTTTCTCTGAAACCTGCTCAATGCTATCATCCTTCTATGTCTGCTGAGATCCAACATGTAAAATCCTGTTTGGATAAATCTGCCAGGACTTTATGCTATGTGGAGGAATCCCATTCTCTCATAGAGCAGGCAACTGATAACAGTTTCCCTGCACCCCGTTGTTCCTGACTGGATGCCCTAAATGAGTCAGTTAAACATCCCAGGGGAGACTTTCCTTACAGGAAGAGGGGGTGCTGATTGGTGTTGGGTTTAACATATGTGGGAAGCACCACTCAGAGGAGTGAGAATGTGGGAACATGAACACGGAGAGGGGCTCTGCAAAAATGTAGCCAAATATTTAAGAAGGAGAAACCGTATTTTTCTACACATCATCTGTGAAGGAGAGAAGGGGATTCTGTTAGCAGGAACTCAAGAGTAGAACAGACTGTAAAAAACTCTACATTCAGGTGTTCTTGGTTTGGCAATTGTTTAGACTCTTCAAAGAGTGACTTCAATCACTGATTTTAAAGTGTTGGTAAGAGTGTGGTTCCTGTTAGTCGGCTTCCTGGATTAATAGAACTGTGAGGCATTTAATGATTTTCCAAAGTAAATAAAATAATCCCCTCGGTGGTCACTGGTGCCATTTGGGAATGGCAGGGAAGTCTCCTAACCACTTTAGTGTCAACTACACCTGGAGTGAGAGGAGTCTTTAAATCTTCAAGTTTGTTTGCTTTTTAATTGCTATTTTGGTTTCATTTGTGACTTTGGAGGTCACAGAAAAAGTGAGACCAATAAACATATACATTTTCTGGCTTTTGTAAAAACCACAACCCTCACTTCAAAAGGGATAAGAGAGAGTTTACTTTTGAGACAAATAATACATGGCCATTGTGATGATATCCTGTTTTTGCTCTAACAATAAAAGCTTGCCTGAAGATCAGAGGGTGGAGCTAGCCACTAGTTAACCATAGAGGACTGGAGGTCTGTACAGACAGACAGGAAGTGATATGGCTGAATTGAGAGAGGAAGTGATAAGACAGGAGGAGACAGGCGCTCGCTCTCTTTTCATCTGGGAAGTAAGCAAGGTAAGGTGAGGCTGTGACTTGCTCCTTAGTCTCCCTGGTCTTCAGGCATGGTTTAGTGTTAAAGTAAAAACAAGATATCGCCACAGGCCATAGCCCAAGACACAGACTTAGGCTGCCTTAAATGCAGTGTCCTAATGTGGTATCTGTTTCATGAAAGTTTTGTTTAAGAACAAAGACAGCCATAAATCAAGATGCTTTCCAACATGTTGGTGGAAACATCAGGTAAGTGGTTACAGCAAAGCAGGGGAAACCTTTGCTGTGGGGCTCAGGGGCCACCTGACAACAGCATTAGCTTTTGGACAGGTGGAAGTTAGAGATCTGTTCATACAGTCAAAGGGATTTACCAAATGGTCAGGAAGATGTCAGGGCCAACACAGAGGTCGGTGACAAATGCAATGAAGAGGATAGGAAGACCCAAGATAATTTGCCTCTGAGCCCATACGATTCCAGCCACTGGAGCTCTAAACTGGCCGTCATCAGCCTTCGTTGGTGGAGCATTACTGTTGATCTGTTCCCAAAGTTCCCAAATCAATGCCAGTCATACCTGAATGGCCCTCCTAGCATCTGGGAAGTGTTAAAGGGCAGGCACTGATTGTACAGGGATGGGAACCAAGCTAACAGTAGTTTTTGTTTTAGATTACATTGAGTTAGCCAGTCAGTTATTTACTCACTAATTTAGCCTGTGTGTTTGCATGTGCATACACGAGTGTTCTGTGGTGCGCATGGGAGCTCAGGTCATCAACTGAGTGGCAAGTGCCTTTGCCTTCTGAGATACCTTACAGCAAGTCTGCCTTTATTTTTGTCCGAGGTTACCAATGCTTGTTGGTCAGTGACCTCACATGCATCAAGGTGTGTATCACCAGGCTAGACTCAGTTTTTCCTATGCTTCAGTGATTGGTTACCCTGAGGGCTTTACTAGATGTCTTCTAGTCTGCAAAAAAAGGTTCTTCCACCTGTTATATAGTGGTTTAATGAGTACATTTCTTCTTAACTCCTGTTCTCACTCCTGTAATGAGCTGTACTAGGCAGGCTCAACGGACTGTTTCCTTTGTTAATAGGATACCTACCCTCCCAATATGCAGATGGACTTGGGCTCCAAATTGCTGACTCCCACACTGTCCCTGTTCAGTTTTTGTTTCTGGTACATAAGATAACTTCAGTTGTTTGCCCTCTTTTATAAGATTTGAAATTTTGAATGGGTGTGCATGAAAAGAAGAAAAAAAATCACGGGGTATGTTCAAGTTTAGTAAAACACTTACTAGACTCCCTGGACATCTTATCTGTTATCAGTTCATCCCATGAGTTATGAGGAATTCTTATGTCCAATTCAGCAGGCGTGTGTGTGTGTGTGTGTGTGTGTGTGTGTGTGTGTGTGTGTGGTATCGGCGCAAACATGTACGTGGCGTATGAGAACACAGATGCTCTGTCTGTGCATGTTTATATGGAGCCAGAGGTAGACATCGTGTCTTCCTTTATCACTGCCCACTTTGTCTTTTGAGACAGGCTTTCTCACTGAGCCTGGTGCTCACCATTGTAGTTAGGCTGGTTGGCCAGAAAGCCTTTGGAATCTGCCAGTCTCCACACCTCCCCTCCGACCCCGGTGCTGAGAATACTGGCGCCTGCCTCATCCCAACTTTTATGTTGGTGTTGAGATCGGAACACATTCAGCAATTTACCCTCTAGCCCTCTTCCCAGATGCTCCCATCATTTTTATTTTGGGCTTTAAAACACCATATATTTCCCATGTATCTCTCCCAAGAACTCAGAAAAGTTTGCTATCATAGCAAATTAAGGAAACCTAAACTCCTGGAGATAGAACGGGTGGCAAAATGGTATTGCTCACTAATGTAGCAAAGAAGCACCCTTTGAACCCCAGTCCGTTGCTGAGAGAGTTTGGTTGTGATGTACATGGAGCGATAATAAAATGATCGCTACAAAATGTAAGTCAGCTTCACAAGCAGAAAGACATGACCAGTATAGTGTCTTACACTATTTAAGTATCAAATGGGTATTCTCATGCTTAGCTTTTTAATATGCAAATTTTAAAGACCTGAATTCTTCCAGGAGTCAAGCACATGGACCTCATTTTCGAGCTATTTTTCCCACGTCCTTATTGTTATCCTTCGGGCTGTAAAATTCACCACTCATTATCCAATTGGCTAACTCTGGCAGTATGTCTGAACAGTAGTAAACCAGATGATTGCTTGCAGATGGGAAACACACTTTTGCTGTAACATGAAAACACCGAGGACAGCATAAACTCAGGCCATCCTCGCCCATCAGCCCCCAATTGTGAAGGGTTTTCTTCTTTATCTAGATGGGAGTTCCTGCAAATGATTACAGTTAAGACATGAAGGCTGCTTAAAATGTGCAGCCCTAACCTGGGTTTCTCATGGCGTGTTGCTGTGATTCACACCACACCACTGCAGTTGAGCTTGCTTTGCAAATGAAGGCTCCTTAACTGGACTCCATTCCATAGCAGCAGAAACAGGATGTGCCAAGACGTCTGCATTTTTAACACTTTGCATCACCCTTTGGATCACCTCCTAGGAACCCTTTTATATAACAGAGCCTGAGAAATCTTCCCGTAAGACACGTTGAGTCATAAAACTCAGGAGATAGCCCCTTCAGTAAAGTGTCACGGAAATATGAAGACATGAGTTTGATGTCTGAACCCGTGTTAAACAACCACAGTAAAAATCCAGGCATGGTATTGGACCTTTTCTTGATCCTGCAGAATGAATGGGTGGAGACAGCTTGCTGAACCGCCAGCCCAGCGGCCCAGAAAGTCATGGGCCTTTGAAAGGAGACTTAATCTTATGAAACATGGCAGACAGCACCTGAGGGCTCACACCCAAGGTTGACCTACAATGTCTATATGCACACCTACACACACACACACACACACACACACACACACACACACACACAGACAAGTACACAAAAATGCATACACAGAAGTGACTCATGATGTTTCATTAGAGCTGTTTTAGAATTGTGTAATTCTTACTTTAAGATTAGCATTATTCATTCATTTTTTAAAAAAATGCTTGTCTTGTGAAATAAAATATAGTTTGTATAAATGTAAGCCTAATATTTTATTTCATTTAAAGTGTGGTGTAGTCATGTTTTTGTGAAACTTTTCTTTAGGGAATATTGGCTGTAGGGGTAATATGAAATATATGTTTCAAAAACAATTGAAAAACGAATAGAAGCTTTATTCCAAACCATAAGGAAATGAAGAGAATTAATAACAATTCACTGCAAAATCACTAAGAAAAATTAAAAATGTCAACTAAAGGAAGCCTTGTATAATTTAGATTTATTTTTAATTTTTAATTGTGTGTGCGTGTGAATGCAAGTGTCCTTGGAGTTCTGATGAGGGCATCTAATCCCCTGCAGCTGGAGTCACGCGCAGCAGTGAGCCTCCCCGTGTGGGTGCTGAGAACCTTGGCCTCTGTAAGAGCAGCACACTCTTCTCCACCTAGGAGCCAGCCTTCCAGCCCCATGCCTAAAATTTAATTTACTAAAAAGTGCTTTTAAAAGAACAAATGACCAGGTTGGGCAAAACAAAGCAGCAGAGAGGGGTGGGACTCTGACTGGAATATTTTGACAGAAGATGAGTTTATGAAGACCATGAATCTGCAGATAACTTCAGCAGCCATGTTATCTCACAGGGACAAAGTGACAGGATGGGAAGGCTGGGGCTGTGGTCACCTTAGAGCGAAGTTTGGTTAAGTGTGTGTCCATCATTTGCTCACTTCTGCTGCTGGCTGCTTCCTAGACCATGAATGCCTCTTCTTGCCCCCCAAAGGGAATCTCCTGGTCATCACATTTGTTAGCTACTTTGGCGCCAGACTTCACAGGCCAAAAATCATCGGAGCAGGCTGCCTGGTCATGGGAGTTGGAACAATGCTCATCGCCATGCCGCAGTTCTTCATGGAGAAGTAAGTGCAAAGTCTCCATCTCTCCTCATCTGCAGTGGCAGGACCCCTCCTCCATTTTTACAGTCATAATTTTGTCCTGTCTTCATAAGGCACGTGTCTTACTAAGTGGCCCAGGCCAGTCAGGGATTGGATTCACTAGACAGCCCAAGACGACTTGAACTCACAGCCTTCCTGCCTCAGCCCCCAGAGTTCTGGGGCCGTGGGCATTTGTTTAAAAATACATGTGTGGGTGTTCTGCCTGCCGGTATGTCTTTGCGTGCAGTGCCAGGGAGGTCAGAAGAGGACTTTGGATCTCTGTTAACTGTACTTAACAGTTGGTTGTGAACTGCCGCGTGGGTGCTGGGAATCGAACCCGGATCCTCTTCAAGGGCAGCTAGTGTTCTCCACCATGAACCATGTCTCCAGTGCCATCAGTGGACAGTCTACAGCTTTTCACAACACTGTTCACTGACGATGGGCTCTTTGTAAATACCTGTTGCTTGGTAAAAACAATTTTTTTTGCTCCGCATTCTTCAAGTCGGTAATCTTGGTGTTGTAATTTCTTTTCAGTCATAGTGGTTGATTATGAAGGGTCACTCTGGCTGGCTGAGTTTAGCATTGTTTCTCTTACCTCCACTAACACATCTATACTAGCGTTGTGCTGGCCATTGTTTCAGACACTGGGGATGAGGGAATGAAAAGAACCATTGATCTCATGGATCTTAGGAGAAAACAATACACAGGGTACTGCACTGTGTCAAACAGGGACATTAGCTTTAGAGAACGTGGCTGGAGAAGTTGGCCAAGGCTTTAAAAGCGATGGCTGTCCAAGCTGCATGTTGCATAAATACCAGTAATTCCAGCTCAGTGGCACCCAATACCCCCTTCTGGCCTCCCTGTGAGCACAGGTGTGCACACCAGCATACATACACTCACACACTCACAGACACACACACACACACACACGCACACGCACACACACACACACACACGTGTGAACGATAGAGAACAACAGCCAAGTGAAGACTCCTGAGGGAAGAGCTGTGGAAAGATAAGCAGACCCTTGCAGACTGGCTGACCCATGAGCTCTGGTGATGTCCTGCCTCCCCAGTGCCAGGGTTCCATATGCCTGTCCTGCACCAGGCATTTAACTGGGAATTGGGGATCTGAGCTCAGCACCTCATGCTTACACAGCAGGCCTTTTGCTGACACAGGTGTCTCCCTGGACCCAGAGGTGGAGTTTTGAATGGTTTACTGTGACCGTGACCTCTGCTCCAAAAGCGGACACTGATATACAAGCTTGGGACTAGACCTCGGGAAGCGAATACTGAATTGGTATATGCTAAGTGAAGACTGCATCAGACAGAATTCGAAATGTGTTCAGAACTAAATCCCTTAACTTAAGAGCACCCATGGCCAGGGTTGGGGGATTCAGTACAACTCTGTCCTGTACAGAGGGGAAGTGGCTTCAGCCTCCAGCATGGAAAAAGAAAAAAAAAAAAGAAAAGAAAAACGTTTTCTACCATTATTCGGGCCTTATGACACAGGCATGTGATATCCACTATTCCTGAGGCTGAAGCAGGAGGATCACATAAGTTCAAGGCTAGTCTGTGTAGACCACTGTGAAGTCATGGCAGGTTCAGGGCAACATAGCAAGTGCATGTATGAATTTAAAGAAACTCAGAAAGTGGTTTGGGTTGGGGGTGGATGTTGGAGGGATTGGGACTGGATAAATTTGTCAAATTAATTATCTGGAGGGAAGAAAAGCAGAATTCCTTCTGGGCTAATGACTCTAGAGCCATGATTCATTTTCTACATTTTCTAGAACTGGCCTGTGAGTGTTCTGCTGTCTGTGATTCTGATGTGCTAATGCCTCAAGCTGTTAACAGTGCTGACTGTTCTCTGACTTGGAGACAGCCTTGCTTGGTCTTCAGCAGATGTAGGTGGCTACCTCTGGTTCTAAGGGAATAGGTGATGGGCAGTCACTGGCTTCTCTTAAAATAAGTCTTAAAATGATTCTTGCTTATTACTCTCTGTCGCTGGATCGTGGATGGCTCAAGAATGGCACAAAGGCAGGCGGAGTCTTCTGGCTAGCCACGGAACCAGCTGCTGCTCAGTGCCAGATTGGTTTGGCGAGTCTGATTTGAAGGAGACTGCAAACCCAAACTGACAGCCTCACCAGTGGTGAAGCAAGCCTCTGGACGTCAGTCTGTCAGAGTAAACATTTTCTTTATATGCAGGTACAGATACGAGAAATACGAGAAGTATTCTCCCTCCTCCAACATCACTCCCAACATCTCTCCATGCCACTTGGAGTCCAGCAGTCCATCGCCAAGCTCAGTCATGGGGAAATCACAAAACAAAATAAATGATGGTAAGGTCATTTTTAAAAGTTGACTTGTGTAAGCGAATAGTTTCTTAGCTTTTATATATGCTTCAGTTCATTACTTCTTTTTTCTCTGAAAAGTGTTAGTATTTGAAATATTAAGGTGTAAAAAAATCCCTGCTATTCTGCTGGGGGGAATGGCTCAATGGGAAAGGGTGGTTGTTTTGCAAGCATGAGGACCTGAGTTCAAATCCTCAGCACCCACTTAAAAATCTAGGCATGTCTGCACATGCCTATAGACCCAACACTGGAGGACAAAGGTAAATGGGTTCCTAAAATTCACTAGCCAGCCAGTGCAGCTGAAACAGTGAGCTTTAGGTTTAGTGAGAGATTCTGTCTTGAGACAATAAGGCAAGAATGATGGAGAAAGTTACCAATATGCTCTGGCCTTTGCTTGCTCACAGGGACAGGCACACATACCTGCTGCTCACATGTCTGCACTGCAAGCACACTCACACATATAAACAGATCCTATAGTATGATATGATCACAGCAAAACATTTCAGTGATCCCATATTATGGGAAAAAAACACAAATGACTTGCTGATGTCTAGGAATATCTTCCAGTAGTTACAGTAAGATAGGTCTTGAAATGAAAATAAAATGAATTTCACAACTAGAAACTTCATTCTGAAGTGTCAGGTAAGAAATGTAATTTTTCCCATGGTTACAATTAATTTTCTCTTAATTCCCTTCACACGTAGGTAAAAATAGCTTCCACCTCCCAGTGTTGATGAGAAGACTTCAGTTATAAATACCTGAGAATCACTTAGCCCAGAGTGTGCTTGGGAGGGGGCTTTTTAGATGTGGTGATTACTAGAGGCAGTTAGCATCCTCTCCTTAGTACAATGCCAAATCTCTGTGAAGCAGTCTTTCATTTATGTAATTGACATAACTGCCCTGCCTCGTGTAGTCAGATCATGGAATGACATTTATTAATGTACCCTTAAATAGTCAGCTTTATATTCAACTCTGAAAATATTGTCAAAAAAACATATTCAGTTTGTTGGAAGATGTGGACTGCTAAAGAGTATAAGACGTATAACCTTTGTGGGGACTTGTTTCCAGAGTTAATCATTACCAGGTATAACTGCAGGCAACACAGCCCAGTGTTGCAATTACTGACATCAACATTTCAGTTACAGGTAGAACTTGGTCAGCAATGAAAAATACTTGTGGCTGAAAAATACACAACTTTTGTTAAGGTGGATGTGGGTATGCCTTTGTTCATGACCTGTTTTGCCTCAGATAACATGTTGAAAGATGTCAGTGTGTAGAAAGACAAATATATTTGTGTAGGTACCAAATAAAAAGAAGAGAAAAAAATAAAGGGTTGTGAAAAACATGAGAATCTCTTAGTGAGGCCTCTCAGTGTATCTGTGAAAGAGATGCAAAAATCACACACACACACACACACATACACACACAGAGAGAGAGAGAGAGAGAGAGAGAGAGAGAGAGAGAGAGAGAGAGAGAGAGAGAGAGAGAGAGAGAGATTCAGCCTCATCCAAATTCTTATGAGATTAGCTTAGCACTGTGGCAGATTTTGATTTTGGTCTCTAATTCAATTTGAAAACCGAGTGTAGAAGTGTAGACTAAAAATCTAACAGCAATAGTGACCTTGATCTACATCTTCTCTTTGCCTTTTTGCCAGGATGTGAAGGGGATGCCAGCTCCTCCATGTGGGTTTATGTCTTCCTGGGAAATCTTCTGCGAGGATTAGGGGAAACTCCCATCCAACCCCTTGGCATCACCTATCTGGATGACTTTGCCAGTGAAGACAACGCCGCCTTCTACATTGGTAATACCCTGTGTAGGAAGTGGGGGGCCTGTCTGCCCCCTTCCCACGTATTCCAGATTTAACGTGTAAGGTTTCAGCATGCCTTCATTCAGTTATCACGTGTCTGAAGTACATGGAGATCACTTCATTAATTAATGTCTGTTGCACTATGGGAAGAACACCGGACTAGAAGAAAACAGCTGTGACCTCAGCTGTAATGGCATGGGACTTTATGAAGACATCTAGGGACTTTTGGAGTTCAGAGATTGTTTTTAATGTTGTGTGTGCATGTGCATAGAGTATGTGTGTAGTGTGTGTACCGTGTGTGTGTGCCTTGTGTGTGAGGGTGTGTACATGTGTATGTGCATGTGCGTGTTTTGTTTCTGCAATTCTAGAAGCTTCCTTGAATTATATAAGCCCTGATTAATTAAAGCATCTTTTTTCCCTATTTGAGATATGAAGGGATTCTTGAACCTTGAGAGTGGGTATAAATGATGAAAAGAAATAGAAAGAACATAGAAACAAGGCTCCAGGCTGCCTCATCTGTGGATCAGGTTCCAGAGGACAGCAGCACTCACCAGTGTCTACGACAATGCACTGGTGAATCTTCCACACAAAATTGTATAGTAGAAGTCAACTCTGAGGGTCAGATGCATCCACGCACTGTTTAGTGGGTGTCTCTTACACCCTGGAATTCAGCTAGAAGTTAGATCTGCAAGGGTGATTGCTGTGTCTTCTGTGTTTTACGCATCGTTTTGACTTCTTGGAATTCTGAGCTTTTGAATGCATAGCCTTTAAGGACACATGACAAGGTTAAAGGAGAGGCTCTGCCAAGAATCACTGTATTTCTGGGCGCACAACATAGAAATCCCATATCCTGCATATACCAATACAGACTTAAATTAAGATCAGGCTCTCACTCTATTGGAAAGCTGGATCATAACTTGGGGGCTCAAGGACAGTCTGGGGTTCACTGAGCAATGTTCGCAGGGACTGGCTAGCATTTACTGTTCTCTAGAGGTGCTTAGAGGCTACCCATGGTCTTACACTTTCTTCTAGCCTGGAAGAGGCCTGGGAATGGCTCTTCATACCTCCAGTTCATGTAATCTCCCAGGAGCATGCATGCTTGACTTCTGCAGGGAAATGAATGGCATGTGGGAGACACACACTAAGCAGGGCAGCCTTTCTGCTTACTAGTGACACTGCCCTCTGGGTAACCTGTTCCCATTGTCCTTCAGGCTGCCCCCGACATGTGTTGAGTTTTCTAGAATATCTTAACTTGCTCTAAAATCTGCCTCCTTTGCTTCCGGAGACAACACTCCCTCCACAGTGCTTCCTCACAAGCTCCTCATGAATAAGTGAGCACTCTTTATCACCAAGGTTGGAAAACCTGCTTTAATGTCAAAAGAGAACATATGCTTAACTGACTATAAAATTTTTTTTGCAAGTTTAACAAATTAGTACAGTTCTGCTTTCTTTGTTTTTGTGGCATATAGTCCCTAGGTCCTTCCTCCACCTGTCAAGGACTGGGATTCCTAAACTGGGGACAGCTACAGCTATCAGAACTAAAGCTTGCTTCGTGTTTGGAATTTAAATTTGTCAAAGTGTTGGTGTTATTTCCATGAGCCGGTTCATGTGTTAGAAGAAATGGCTTTCTCCCCAAATAGGGAATGACTTGTTTCCTGAGTTGGTGCATTGAAACGTTAGCCAGTGACACACCCACAGATGGAGTGCTGAAGTATTTACTTTGCAGCTATCAGCTGCATCTCATTTACATTTCCCGCTTAGCATCTTTTTAATTTAGCAAGGCAAAACCAAATGACAGCTATTCTTGTGTTTTCTCTTTTTTACCCCTCCCTTTCTAATGTGTTTTGGTTTGGTTTGGTTTGCTTTTCTTGTACAGGATGTGTGCAGACAGTGGCAATTATAGGGCCCATTTTTGGCTTCCTTTTGGGTTCGTTGTGTGCCAAACTGTATGTTGATATTGGCTTCGTGAATCTAGGTAAGTAGTTTTATTAATGAATATATAAATTAGTTAGTTAATTTTCTTATGTCTCTGTGTGTGTAAATGTCATGATGTGCTTGTGAAGATCAGTGGACAACTTGTGCAAATCAGTTATCACTTTTCCCAGCATGGAACGCAGGTCCCCAGGCTTAGTACAAGTGCCCTCACACACTAAGCTGTCAGGCCAGCCTGAGTATATTTTTTATTTATTCATTAATTTTAACTACTATAATTTTTAATGGGACTGAGAAAAATACCAAATTTTATTTTTGTGTTTTTAATTTTTAAAAAGCAGTATGTGTATAAATATTTACATACATGCATATATGTACTCTAAGTGAGTGCCTATTGCTGGAGGGGGACAGAAGAGGGTGTCAGATCCCCTGAAACCAGAATTACAGACATGTGGGTGCTGGTAATACAACCCCAGTCCACTGAAGGATCACCAAGTGTTCTTAACCACTGAGCAATCTTTCCAGCCCCCAAACTTTGCTTTTGATACAATGTCCAGGTGGCATTCTTTCATAAAGTAAAAGCATTCCATGGGATACACATTGATGCTGAAGATTCAGGCGTTAATGGGTGCAGAAGGATAGTGGTTAGAGCGGGGAGACCTGTGGTCTGTTATCAAGGCAGATTCTCTTCTGCAGCTTCCAGTTCAGGCTGAAAATTGTGGCTACTGCTGGCTCTCGCTGGTCTTGGATGTGTCAGCCGATAAAGCAAACACATGGGAGTCTCTGATGACCACACTTCCCTCTCCCCTGGTCTTAGCCGGTCTCCCCCGTCCTATTTGCCCAAGTGGGCAATAATTTGGGGACTGGTGGCCATTACTCTTTGAGGACAATCTTAGACATTGAATGAGTAATTCAGACGCAAGTGTTTATATATATATATACATATACATACATACATACATACATATACATATATATATATATATATATATATATATATATATGGGAAATCTGAACTTGAGCATCTGGCTGTAAGGTGTTTCACACTATACTCTCCCTTGTGCTCAAGGCACAGCTTCAGAGCACAGAATATAGCCACAAGGCTCTTACAGCCTTTAGACTCTGACTTTAAAAGAAAAAATATATGTTTATTATGTATACAGTGTTCTATCTGCATGTATCCCTGCAGGACAGAAGAGGGTACCAGATCTCATTACAGATGGTTGTGAGCCACCATGTGGTTTCTGGGAATTGAACTCAGAACCTCTGGAAGGCCACCTAATGTTCTTAACCACTGAGCCATCTCTCCAGCCCATAGATGCTGACTTTTTAATCCATGATTCAAACAGAAACTAAAAACTTACAGAAACAACTTTGCTGGATGAGCTATTACATGTTTTCTATTTTCATGTGTGTGTGCATGTTCCCTTGTGTCTGGGCATACATGTGTGTGAACATGAGCCTTAGATGATACTGGGAATCATCTTGAGTTTGTCTTCTACCGTTATTCATTGAGGTAGGGTCTAGGGTCTTTCAATCAGGTCCAGAGGTCACCAATATAGCTAATTGACTGTCCAGCCTGCTCTGTGACTCTCCTGTCTCTACACTTGGAGACTGGAATAAAGGTGAGCATCCAGGTCCACCTGGCATGTACACACACACACACACACACACACACACACGTGTGTACACACACATATATGTACATATATGTATATGCATGTATCATGCATGCATTCATGTATATATGTGTATATGTATGTATGTATGCATGCATGCATGCATGTATATTCTGGGGAAATCTGAACTTGGCTCTTCATCCTCTGAGACATCTCCCTGACTATCTAGGGTAGGTTTTTATGATTTTATGAGCGGTAGAAGTGTTGCTAGAACTTGCTTTCTGTGGTAACTCATTTCAATACCCTAACATTGAAAAACCTGTCTTCCAGACCACATCACCATCACCCCAAAGGATCCCCAGTGGGTGGGGGCCTGGTGGCTTGGTTACCTAATAGCAGGGCTCCTGAGTCTCCTTGCAGCTGTGCCTTTCTGGTGCTTACCCAAGACCCTACCAAGGTCCCAAGGCAGAGAGGACCCTGGATCCTCATCTGAGAAGTCCAAGTTCATTATAGATGACCCTGTCAGTTACCAAATGGCCCCTGGAGAAGAAATGAAAATCATGGAAATGGCAAGAAGTAAGTCAGATTCTCTTTGGTCATGGGCGACTAGTGGGGCTTGAAGTGTATGAATAATAGCACTTGAATCACAGAATGAAGAGAGTAGGAGAAAGGTCCTTTTATCATCAAGGTGCACTCACTAAAGACACAGTTGTGACTTACGTTGGGAGTAAGAGACTCACTGGAAGTTCTTGATGTCCAGTCTGGGGGTCCTAGAGGGAGGATGAGGGAAATGCCCCTTTGCCCATGACACATCGGCTGGTGGGATCTGTCCCTGTCTGAATTATGGGTCCTGTATAGTCTTCCTGTAGGAGACTGTGTGCCTGGATTCAAACCTGGGCAGATTGCAGCCCTGAAGGTTGCAATGTCTGCCACCTGAGACGCTGTCTCAGGACTCCATATTGCTTTTGTCTTACAGATTTTCTTCCATCACTGAAGACTCTTCTTAGAAATCCAGTATTCATCTTATACCTGTGTGCAAGCACTGTTCAGTTCAATTCTCTGTTTGGCATGGTGACATATAAACCAAAGTACATTGAGCAGCAGTATGGGCAGTCATCCTCCAAGGCCAACTTTTTCATTGGTATGTACACCTGTCTGTCATGTGTTTTCCACATCTTTGATGAATCTTGTACATTCTTACTGATATTATATTGCTCCATTTTTTAACCTAAAGTGATTACAGTGTTTTAGATGAAGTAAAATAGCAAGTTTAAAAAAAACCCTCTAGTAGTGTAAATATGTATGTACATAGTGGGTGTGTATTCTAATTTTGCAACAAGGAATTGTTTGTAACTGTAACTGGTTGGCTTTGAGAGAATTCCCCACAGTTCTTTAAGAATTACAAAGAAATAAATATAGCATGAATTTTTTTAGATTATTACTAGAAGTGAGTATCTGTTTTTTTAGGCTTTTTGGATACCTTTCAACATTGGAAATATTGCACGCGTGGTGTCTGAGATGGAATACAGCAGGCATTTAGATGGTATAACTGTGTCGTTCGTTGCAAAGCTCATGTTTAACTCAGAGTCAGGGAATGTGTTTGACTTCTGAAGAATATGTTGTTTAAAGGGATTGTATTTATAGCATGTTAATGTATCCAATAAAAAGAACACCACTCAAGGACCAAAACAAGAATAAGGAAATAAAACAGAGAAAATAATATTTAAAACACAGGGCTATCACCTTTTATAATATTAGAGACTTAAGTCATGAATTAACTCCCTCTCTCCAAGCATACCATTTTAAAACCACCATTTTGAGGATTTGAGACTCAAAAATAATTTCCTTCTCCCTAGAAATTGTTAAAGGATTTATCTTATTAGTATTTTCTATGGTATGGATGTGTTATGGGGATGTGTGGGTATGGATGATGAGTATGTGGTAGGTGGGTGTATTCATTTATGCACATTAATGCATGTGTCCATGTAGGCCAGAACAGGCTATAAAATCTCCTGGAGGTGAAGCTACAGGTAGTTGTGAACCATCCACTGTATGTTGTGGGAACCAAACTTGGGCTTCTGAGCCATCTCTACAGCTCCACTTCATGGAATATTTAAAAAATCACTCCATATATTTATCTCTAAAAAGAGAATTAAAAAGTTGAGTGCATCTTGGAAGATGCATTTTTCTTATAACAAATTCTGAATAATTGGCACCTAGAAGATGTTACTGATTTGTTTGGTCTATTCTCCAACATTAGAAAATTAGATCACTGAACTTTTCCATTTCCAATATTAATTGATTCAAAAGAATTTGCATTACTGGTTGAGCACAATGCATATTTTAGAAATTTCCATCCAGAACTTCATTAATATCTGTCAGTGTTGTATACTGAGCTTAAGGAGAATGAATAAATAAGCAATGGACTTTTGAGATAGTCTTTTCCATTTTATATGTAGTTTTATGTATCCAGATATAATTTATAATTAACAGTTAAGTTTGCAGATGTTTCTCGTATAGCTTAACTGAATAAATTATGTATATGTGTGTGTTCATGTGTACATGTGTGAAGTAGCCACCATCTAGAGCACCCTATTAGCTAAGAAGATTATTACCAGCACATACTTTCCCTAATGTCTACAATTGTTGTAGGCTCAATCTTCGTAAGCCAGTGTTACCTGTTCTTGAATCTTATAGAAGTTGAACAATTGATGTTCAAATCCATTCTCTGTTCTGAATACCTATGGTTGTTGTTTTTTCCTTACTGTAGTATAGTCTGTGATATCAATGTACCATAAATTATTTCTATGAGTCATGTTAGTGCTGATGGCCTTTTAGGTTTTATTCTTTTGGTTACTGTAGATCACACATTATCATACTATGGGTGTATTCATTTTCTTTGACTAGCTCTTGGAGTGCAAATACTAACTAGACCATAGGCAGTCTGTGATAGATACGGTAGATGTTGCTGAGAAACACCATGGCTGAACACATTTAAACACACACTAGATGTGTGAACATATATGCTAATCTCTCCACACTGTTATCAGGCCTTGATGTTGTCAGCCTTTTTCATTGTAATGTCATTTACCTGCTGACTGTTTATGTTGAATATGTCTGCATAGGTTTATTAGTCACCTCAGCATTCCCCTCTACTAACTGTTTCAGTCCTTTGCCAATGCTATTTCTTTATTTTTCTTGCCAGTCTTTCACTTGGTAACCTCTGGCTATTGTACCGTTTTCTTGTTACAGATTTTTCATTGAATGTGTGCACTGCAAGTATTTCTCATATATTTTAGTTTACCTTTTAATTGTTTTCCCTTTTATTAAACATAGATTCTTTTCTCATATAGTATAATCTGAATACAGTTTCTCCTCTCTCTATTCTTCCAAGTACCTCCCTACCCGATTAGATGTAAGATATTTTAATGTTGATAATGTCATGATCATCATTTTAATTAAAGCCCAATTTTTAGTCTTTTTCTTTCTTGCTATTTTGGTTCTGCTTTTAAAACTGTACATTAAACCCCCGGGATAACCGAAATATTCCTAATACTTCTAATGTTAGTACTTAATTGTCTCAGTTTTCACATATTGGAACAATTCATTTCTAATCAAGTTTTTATGTAATATGAAAGACAAGGTTCAATCAGGATGAAGAGGAAAAACAAACAAAACAAGACCAAATCCTCTTCCCAGGAGCTTGCATAAAAAGCATGTCTGTGAAGAAGTGCCTATTCACATTATTCAGCATCATGCAATATTGTATCCTGGAAAATAGACTTTTTTCTTAAATTAGGGGAAACTGTTAACATGAATGAATTTGGATTACAAGTAGCCATATCTGTTACCTTCTTCCCAGCCTCTGTTCTTTGTTTTTTTTAAATGGCAATCATGTGTCTTTTAGCTGATTGTTGCCCATTCAAAGTCTCAGGACACTTCCATCTCCTTCACTGGCCACACCCCACAAATCTCAGTTTAGTTGGAGAGCAAAAGTAGTGTCTCATTTATTCCATGTTCACAGTCCAGCCCTTGTGGAGATGAGCTGATTTCTGTTTGAGAATCTACCCTGGAACTATGTCCTTAGCTAGGCTGGCCTGGTTTCTCATACACCAATTTTAATATTAAGAATTACAACCAATAGTCAAATAAAAAAGATGGATTTAAAAAAAGATGGATTAAATGTCCTTTCATCTGTTGACACATGGTAGATACATTTTAAAAAATAAGGTAATATAAGAGTAACCTGAAAGAGGCTATTTCTTTTAATTCCGTGAAGATTACTAAAAAGATTCAGTGTATAAATTACAAAATAAAAGTAAGTATAGAGAAGGAATGATAATTTTATTTATTTGTAGTTGTTTTTTGTGATGTGTAGGGTTTGGATACAGCACTTGCACATGGTAGCCAAGCATTCTGCCAGTGAGCAACAGCCCAAATCCCTGTCTTAATTTCATTTATGGCATCTAACTAAAGTGCTGAGATTGGCGTTGAACTCTGTCTCACTAGCCTGCTCAGGCTTCATAACCTCCCTGTATTTGTCTCCTGCATAGATGGGAATCACATACTCCTATCCTAGACCTGGTCTACTTTAATGTGGAGGATTCACTCCCTATTCCCATACATGATTTTTATCTGTGCCCATCTAGTAGAAATGAATACTTCTGTGTTAGACATTGTGCTAAGAGCCACTCACAAATAGCATCATATCATCACCTCAACACTATTTCACTTTCAACATTCCAAACCAGAAATAAAAATGCCAAAATGATTCCACAGGTGAAGAAGGCAACTCCTGACCTTGAGTGATTGAGCTCCTTCAGAATAAAAACACACTAAAAATATCCAGACTGTGTTACAGTGTTATGTATATGATACAGAAAATTAAATTTTTGTTGCATTATGGATCTCATCTCCAGGACATCTTATTATATGTGTATACTCTAAGATTATCCAAAATTCAAAAACACATTGGTTCCAAACATTTAGGTAAAGAATACTCAGGCTCTAATGAACAGTTGACAGTGGGCAACTTTGGAGACGTTCAGAGAATTGCCTGCAGTTGTATAGCTGTTAAGTGGCTGAACTCAGAGCGCCTCAACCCAGGCACTCTCTATCACCTGGTGGGACCAATCCCTATGCAGGTTTTTCATCATGTTTACTTGACGACTTGTGAGGTTGCATAAGTCTAAATCTAGTATTCTACTTGAAGAAGATGGGACTAAAGATGGAAGAAAGAAGACTTGGCTTTAGCCTTCCTGTGTTTCAGTTGAGTCTTAATCATTACTAACCATAATCATGAAGAAATTTCTAAGTAGAGAAAATTAATATGCCTACTCTTAAGATTGCAGTGAAGACTAGAGATGATGGATAGTGTGTCATATGCCTAATTGGGTACCTGGCACATGACCACATGATGACATATGCCACTTTAACTGAAGCTGTAAGGACAGCTTCAAAGAAAGAAACCAAGGAACTGGATCAATCAAGATTTGGTTTGAGCCAAAAACTAGAAAACAAAACATAAACAACAATAAGCTTCCCTTCATTCTCTATGCCTGTTATATTATGGATATTGTTAAAGAACATGGATGTCTACCCAACTGCCTCCTGATAGAGAATGTTAGCTCTGGGCACCCACCATAAAAGACATCACATCATCAATTTATTCTGTATTAATGGAGTTATACATTCTGTCATCTGGAATGTAAGACTCTGAGACTAGACTTGAGCTATTGTTAATCCATGACATTCATTCTAATCACAAACTCTTGGTATATGCTTGCCAATTATAATACCAATATTTTTGTTAGTTAAAAGGACAGCACAGTTTAATACATCAAAACCATCAGAGGTTTTTTGCATTCACATGTCTGATGTTCAGAGATCTCTTGTAGGCAGTCACTGAATGGCCTGTTTTTCTTATTCCTCAGGGCTCATCAACATTCCTGCAGTGGCCCTTGGAATATTCTCTGGGGGAATAGTTATGAAGAAATTCAGGCTGGGTGTGTTTGAAGCTACAAAACTCTACTTGGGATCATCTGTCGTTGGCTACCTCCTCTTCCTCTCTCTGTTTGCCCTGGGATGTGAAAATCCTGGTGTGGCCGGCTTGACTGTGTCCTACCAAGGGTATGTTCCCTCATGATATCATTTGAGGAGATGGGTTAGAGTAATTCAATTTGTCAATAGAGTTTTCCAATAAGATTAATGTTTTAAGTCTCATAACTTTCATAGAAAGGAAATTTTAATGGAATAACTGATACCACATAAAGCTTAGAATCTGTTATTGTCACCCAAACTTGTGGTTCCTTTCAAATTTGAATGAAAATGTCTTATGTAATATGAAATTGCTAAATCTACATCTTACATTAGAAAATCAACCTGACAAATGAAACAATATAATCAAGGGAACAGAGCTTGAATTCTTAGTAAAGTGATAATTTATGGGTTGAGCCAATTAGGCTATAATTTCTTCTTTTGAAAATAGAATAATAACTGTTTTTTAAAATTGTGGATGTGATGTCATACACATGATAATGATTAGTATTTCCCTGCCATAAAATATCTGGAAGATGTTGGATTTTCTCCCCTCTGGACCCCTAGTTAACTGGATTGGTCTCTTGGCTATCCTTCCGAGTCTCCTCTTCTTAAAACCACAGCAAGATTCAGGAGAAAAAGTTATCTCACAGCAGCTGTCTTTAGCTGTCTGTCTTGCACTGAGTCTTGTAAGACCTATTTCACTTTCCCATTCACAAGTCCTTCTTATCACTCTACCAGAAGGAGTGTGTGTACCCTTTCATCTAGTCTGCCTATACTATTAATCTACAGATGTTACTGAACATCTACCATGTACCAGAGAGGATCTAGATTCAATCAACTGGACCACTTGAAGCCCTGTAGAGGCAAGAAAGGCAGATTCTCCAGATCTTGTATTCTTTTGTTTCTTGTTTTCAATGCCTGTGACCAAATACCTAACAAGAAGCAACTTAAGAAACGTGGAATGTATTTGGGCTTGCAGTTTGAAGGAATATACACATCCCGTCTTGGAGGGGAAGGCATAGCAACAGAGGACCCCATGGCTTTGTGAGTGCATAGGAACTTCTTGTTCACATCTCATCAGACTAGGAGACAGAGATGGAACCTCTGGCTTTCTGATCCAGTGACCTAGAGACCTCAACTCCCGAAGCTTTTACAGCCTCCCAAAACACCACCACCTCATTCAAGCACATACGCTTATAGAAGACATTTCTAATTCTCTGAATGCAAAGTTAAATAGAAATGTATCCCATCAGGTTGGGAGGCTGAAGAGTCTGCTGTGGTCAGCATTAAGAGTGTTAATGGTAACTATGCGTTTCAGAGAATAGAAGCCTTGCACCATCTTTGACTGCACCTTTCATATTCATTGTAGACAAGCATGGTGGAATCATTTGTAGCTTTCAATTTAAAAAACAGCATAACTCTCATTTTTCTAATGCGTATCCTCTATACTCTTATACAAGTTAGTTTTGCTAACCTTCCTTGAAGGGACGTGAGTTTTAAAAAGTCAGTTTGCTTCCCAAACTTGACTATAAAGGTAGATCTTGACTTTGCACACAGGCGTGAATCAGATCCACATTATGCTTTTTCTAAGGTAAAAGCAAACGCAGTTCAATAGCTGCGAACTTTTGAGGTCACATTGTGAATACTTCCATGATAAAAGATGAAATATTTTGAAGATAATCTAACCATTGGGTACTAGCCTCTCACCTTGAGAGACTGTAGCTGAATTGGCATCATGCTGCCATTGTTTAGAGCATTCTGAAACTCCTCTTTCAAAATTGCTTTCCGTACTTTTAAAAACATCCCCCGCAGTGGCACAGGTTTAACCTCTGATAATAGCTGTGCCATTGAAAGCAGTCGAAGAAGGGCAACACCACTAGGAAATCACCTTGCCTCTCAGAGCAACTGTCTGAAAGACAAGTCTCATTGAGGAATAAACACTCTAATATGTTTGTTGGAACTCTTCTTATAATTAAACATTTAAGCCACAGGCCTACTGTCAAACACATCCTTCATAAGATGTGTTTGCAATTAAAGTCTGTCCTAGATGGCAAACTAAAAATATCCCCAGTAGTGTAAAATAATTAACTTTAATGCAAGATGCTTCCCCTGGGATTGTCCTGTGTTGCTTTGTTTGAAAAGGTTATTTTGATTTTAGACACCCAAGAGGTCCTCTGCTGATGAGCTTGAAATATGACAACTGAGGGAATATCTCTTCTGCAGGAAGGAGGATAATGCTGATATGAGAACAAGAATATAGATGCAAGAGGCCTGGGAGGGTCCACTCCTAGGTTGTCACTAACAAACGGTGTGAGTTTGAGCAAGTACCCTGCCTAACCTGACCTTCCTGATATGAATGTGAATGATGGCTTCCCTCACACCAAGGTTCATTGGAGGTACAATCATCTGTGGCTTTGACCTCAGAGGACCTCTAGGAGACTGATACTGGGCTTTCAAAAACTTTATTGTTATTAAGCTTCCTATGAAACCACTCATGTCAGCCAGCAGTTAACACTTCATGGAAGAGAATATTAAATGTTCCCAGAGCACTTCTCAGAGACCTAGTTAAATTCTGTTCAGGGTGACCTTTGAGATGGCCCAATCCACAGAGGCCCAACTTGATGGGCTGTTACCTCAGTTAAGAAATCACTGCTCTAATCATGTAGGAAATACACTTAAGAGCAAGGGCACAAAGCACTATTCTTTCTCTAAACATCACCTTTTGATGAATGTGATTTCAATACTAACACTAAGGAGGCTGACCCAGGGGTCTGAGTGTTCAAGCCCCACCAGGCTGTATAGCAAGATCCAGACTCAATAAAAAGACTTTTTTCTTTGATGATTCAGTTCCTATAAACCACATTTCTTACTCTACTATGTGTTAAGAATTATACTTGACACTAGCATCACAGGAATAAACAAACTGATCTGGCCTCTACTAAGTGTACATTTCAAAGTATTGTTTGTTCATTTAAGTCTCTAAAATACCTGCATAAAAATCCACCAAGATAAGAGATCAACACAAAAGAAGATACGATGAGGGAGGAAACTGAATTTTGAAAGGTCTATAGGCATTTCACATAACATGAAGCCAAAATGACACACCAATGGGTAAGTGCCCTGTGGAGGGACTAGAGAAAAAGAAGAAAGGTAAATGTTCAAGAAAGTCAACCCTTGGAAGATAAAGATTACTCATAACTATTTATAAACATCTTCCATCCTCCCAAAGCTGGCACTTCAGAGTGTTCCAATCAGTTTTGTGGCTAAATGGGTTGGTAATTCATTGACTAATTTTGGACTATGTAAGCAAAGATGGTGAGGTATGCAGAAGATCTCTGTACATGGAAGAGTAGAGAGACAAAGTATTCACCGTGCATGATTGGAAAGATACATGCAACTAGGTATGCACTCACAATGGATGCAAGAAGGGTGTTCACTGTTAGCTGCTTTTATTCCTAACTAAAAGCAATACCCATCATACTGATGTCCATACAATTACAAAAGATAACATGCATAGGGTCATAAATAGACCCTGAATTTGCTTTTCTGTCTTGTAATCACAGAAATTCCTTACAGGATCATGGAAGCAGAGGACTTTAGTAAGAACTTTAAGCTAAGTAGTGGATGTGGCTAGAATGGGTAAGCCTGTTAAGACAAGGCTTAAGGGAAAGTCAGTTAACAGTTGGCTCATATTTAACACTTAGATGCTGATATCTTTAACACAACAATTGTATTTTCAAAAGACAAACCAATCGCCAATACCACAGCATTTATATGACTCAAGAGCATTGACATTTTAAAATTAGAATCTTGCCTGCTAAGAGGTAATATTTAATACTGTTACATTTCTTTTCAGAACCAAACCTGTCTCTTATCATGAACGAGCTCTCTTTTCAGATTGCAACTCAAGATGTAAATGTTCAGAGTCAAAATGGGAGCCCATGTGTGGTGACAATGGGATCACCTATGTGTCTGCTTGTCTTGCTGGTTGTCAGTCGTCCAGTCAGAGTGGAAAGAACATTGTAAGAAATCTCTCCTAATGTGTCTGCCTGTTAGCTGACTGTCATGTAAACATGTGTTGCTCTGCTGGGGTCTTAGTAGGTCACCAAGACAGAAGCCTGGTTCTGATCCAACCCTTGGGTTTGTATATAAATATAGGGAATTTAAAATATCCTTATGGAACTAAAGTTGAAAGAATGAAGGAAAGAATTAGTCAGGAAACAGGTATAACAACGTTCATAATTGTTTAGTCTACATCTCTCCTTGTATTGTGAAAAAGTTTAGCCTAGACTAAGAAACTCCCAAACATCATATCATACCAGTTTTAAGGTCTACTTTAGGATCTGTGTCCCTTCAGCTCAAGGCCAGTACATACAGGAAGTTTTAGGAACAGCATAAATTGGGAGGTTATGAGATGTGAATCTAAAGGTATGGACCCAGGAGCCCAGAACTGACTCTGGGTAAGTTGGTGGTTCTGAAGCAGCTCATCAAGAGGAGCAGATGGTGTCTGGGCTGCAGGGCTGCTCCAGAGTCATTTGTATAAGGAAAACAAAGGGCAATCGGGGAGATTGTTGACCAATGAGATCAGGGTGGGATCTGGGGGCTACTTGATAGAGAATGAAAAACTCACTACCATGATTTGAGATTCTTACAATTAGTGATGGACACTAATTTCAGGGTTGAGGGCAGTGAGAGGATTTGAATGTTCATTTGGTTGCCATGTGGAAAACAGATTGTGGGTGGTGAAAGAGGAAGTAGGTTGAGCAAAAAGATGACCATTACAGTAATCAAAGGATGAAACAGTAGTCAGGTGTAGACTACAGGTCATGGTTTAAACAATGAAATACTCTATTAGATGTCACCTTAATACATGTAAATATAGCAAAAAGTATTTCCCCATTAATTATGTAATGCATATATATTATAGTAATAGTATTTTTTAAAAAGTGACTTCTGATTTCATTAAATATATCTCAGTAATTGAATTTTTCGCTACTGTGTTACAGATATTTTCTAACTGCACTTGTGTGGGACTTGCAGCCCCTACATCAGGAAACTGGTCAGGCATAATGGGCAGGTGTCAGAAAGATAATGGATGTCCCCAAATGTTTCTGTATTTCCTTGTGATTTCAGTCATCACGTCATATACATTATCTCTAGGTGGCATACCTGGGTATATATTGCTCCTGAGGTGAGTGCTGAATCTCCTCTTCCAAACATCATGGTCTAATGCAGTGTATACTCTTCTCTATGATCATGGTTCTTGATAGCTCTTTGAAACCAGCCCCTGATCCCAATGTCAGGTGAACCCATCTTATGTTTTTATATAAAAACATAGCCATATGGAGTTTTCTTAGTTTAGTGTGTTAAATCTAGAGCAACGTTAAAACCTACATCATTGAAGTTTTGCGGTAAATACCATGTGGGACTTCCGACGTTGGAGACAGTATTACTAACACAGATAAAAATCTACCTTCCAGCAAATATGCTTCCATCAAATTTATACAATAAACAATTGTGAGATACTTGAAGGTATGTCTAATAACAGAGTGCTTTGAACTGATCATTTTTATCTATAGGTTAGTATTTTCTACATGTTTCTGCTAATACTGGAATTTTCCATGATGGGTATTTTTTAAAAATCAATTGAGGATTCTGATCTATGAACATTATGTGAATGACTTAAAGCAATTTTATATAAAGGACCCTAAATGTGTACTCCTTCTCATATTATAATTAGAATATATGTTTTAAAGAATGATTTAGATAGGAAGTAAGCATTGATTTCTGGTATAAATCATGTATTTGAAAATGGGAGGATTTTAAATTTTATATCCCTCTTTTAAGCAAAATTGCTGAGATTAAAGAATACTTGGATAATCGCGACTAGAGTAAGGGTTGCATGAAAGGCATGTGCGTGCGTGTGTGTGTGTAGTGTGTATATGCGTACATACTTGCATGTGTATAGTGCACACAGGTGTGTACTCATGAGCAGGCCCTCAAATGTTCTTCCACCTTGGTCACTGAGGCAGCGTCTCCCAGTCAGAGCTTAGGTCATTCTTACTAGCCGTTGTGCAGTGATGCTTTTCCGTCTCTGCTTTCTAAGGCTGGAATAACAGCCTACTCATTATTTGTGTGGGGCCTGAGTGTCTGAACTTCGGGCTCCATGCTTGCGTGGTAAGTGCTTTAACCACTGAGAAATCTCTCAGGCCACATTTTCTAAATGGTGCTTTGCCTATTTCAGGTGCATTCAACCACAGCTTAAGTCTTTTGCTCTGGGTATATACACCTTAGCAGTAAGAGTTCTCGGTAAGTGTAATCAAAATGGACCATGATTTTCTTCTCTTTCTGAAACACTGTGTGTGTGTGTATGTGTGTGTTTACATTGGTTTATTGTCCGGGCGCCCCCGGAAGTGTCATGGACAGCAGGGAAATAATCCACGGAAGGTGAAGAATGAAACTCGGGTCAGCACTGCTTTAGCGGCATCTGGTCAAAACCTCTGGAATCTTGGGTTATGGTTTATTTTTCCTACACATTTAAGCACAGCAAAACTTGGAGTGGGGGTGGGAAATCTCCACAATTCTCACCATAAAGCTTCAGGGATGGCTATGTTGAAACTCCCTTGCAGATTAGTAAAGCCCCTGTAACCTTTACAGTAAGAATGTGTTCTGTTGGGTGATAAACGGTGCTCAACGTAAGGCCTAGGGGGGAAAGATTTGTAATAAGCATGAGGATAGGAGTATGCAAAGGGCATGCAGCCTCTTTCGTAAGGAAGGGTTCCAGTTAGTGTGAGACAAAGCTCAAGGTATGCCCAGACCTTGCCCAAACAATGCCCAGAAATTGAGGGGATTCGGGAAGACTGGCTCCATAGACTGGCAAAAAGATTAGCAGGTTGTTAGACAACATCCACGCCAGCCTTAAAGGTGAAAAGGCATCAGCCGTTTTCCTTCCCTTGACGGAAATAGTTCCAGTGCTTAAGAAGTCTGGTTCCTCCGATGCCCTCTCTAAGCTGAGCCTCCTGCACTCTGTAAGGACCATAGCTTGTGCTGCGCTACAAGTAGCAATGCCATCATTTTGTGTGACCACAATCCATTGCCATGGTCAAGACATTTGGTACCAATGTGCTACTCTATCTTCTATAAATTACATGATGAAGTTACATTGTAGCCATGCTCTCTACACCCTTACCCACTCTGGTTCCAGAGTGAGTATAGGGCCACACACTGCATTTAGCTACCCCTTTTCAACCTCTGACAAACCTTCCTTTTTGTAGGTAGGCAGATCTGTCATCTAATGGCTAGTCCTTCATTTGCGTTTACCTGATTGATGTTTGTAAACTGCCAAAAATGTTTTCAGGTGAGAACAGTTGACCTTGTATGCAGTTTTGCCCATTCTGCTGTGAAGACCTGTCTTTAGTGTAGACCATCGCTGGATAATGCTCTCTTGGTGATGAGGCCATACCCATTTCCACAGTAAAGATCATTTGTCAATAATGAGTGGTCTGTGAGGAGATGAGGTCATTATTCCATTCCTGGCATATGTTTTGCCTGAAGCTGAAATGACTATTACTGCTCTAAATTAACTCAATTGTAGCATGACTATTTTATAAAACTCCCAACAGAATTTCAAGAAGGCAGCATTTTAAAAATAATTCCTGTTTGTTATCAAAGGCCCATCTAAAGTGTTAGGATGGCTTTAGTCAGAGCACACTATTTTGTATAACAATATGCTGTGGTTTGAGTATGAGTTGTGTCCCATAGGTTTCATTTGTTGAGTGTCAGATACCCAGATGGTGTCACCATTTGGAAGGTTGGGGTACCTTTAGAAGGTGAGACCTGGCTGAAGGAGGATATCTCTGATGCGGGGGGTCGGGGTTTGAGGTCTATAACTTGACAACTGCCAGCTGGAGTTTTCTATGCTTCCCGCTGTAGTCACTTACCAAGTATGCCCCTGCTGTATGGGTCAAGTCCTTTGACATGCTTTCCCCACCATGGCTGACGCACATGACTTGAACTGTGAGCCAACATAAAACCCTTCCTTAGTCAGATGTACAAATGTTGGCGACTCCTAAGCAATGACAATGGCGTAAAACAGATGCTCATGGACCATATGCTTGCAATACATAAAACAGAAATGAGGCTGTGAACATATCTCAATCCTCCCAGAACACTGTTGCTGAAGCTTCGTTGTGAGGATTTATCTTTTCTCCACAGGAAGGACTGTGTCCTTGGTAATCAGTTACTGAGAAATGATGAGCACTATAGCGTGAGTAAGAGAGGAGCTTCCTGTGTCTGCTTGGGTCCTAGCAGAAAACACAATTAACACAAGTTGTTCCGAGAGCATTAAGGCTTTGTGAAAGGGAACAAGCACTATGGGCTGGTGAGCAGAATTAATGCATTTTAGGCCATTGAAATGGCCTTTTCTGAAGGGAACCATTTAAACTGAGACACAAAGGGTACGTGTGCGTTAAGAAGAGGGAGGCAGGGCAGGGGTGGTGCAAGTCTTTAATCCCAGCAGTTGAAGGGCAGAAGCAGGATGCTATCTGTATGTTGGAGGCCAGTCTGGGTGAGTTCTTGGACAGGATCCAAAGCTACACAGAGAAACCATGTCTCAAAAACAAAACAAAAAAATCCACAAAAAATCAAAACCAAAATAAATAAATAAATAAATAAATAAATAGAAGAAGAATAGAAAAAAAAAGAGGGAGGCAGGAAAAGTAAGTTTGTTTCCTAGAAAGAAAGCTACTCAAGGTATTAGGCAAGAGGACGGAACATTTTAAGAATGGAAAGATTTTCAGTGAAGCTGGGATCCCAAATATAAAGCTCATTGAGGGCAGAAATGCAGTTTGGTCTTGAAAGAAATAAATACCTTAGGCAATTATCTGTGCATTTATTTGCATAGTAAATAGGTTAGAGAGTGCTAAGGAAATCGGCAAAAACAATCCTTAGCTATTGCTTTTATTGAGGATGGAGTTTCTGAGAATTGAGCCCCAGTCCTTGAAGTCTGCGAGGCAAATTCTCAGCAGTGAGCTGTACACGTACCCTTGCTTAGGCCTTACAGTGGCGCAGAAGTAGAGAGAGGAGACTGTATACCTAACGTATAGATGTTTCATGACTTGGGATGTATTAAAAGTGAGGGGAGGAGGGGGGCTCAAATACGACCTCCAAGCTCATAATCCCGTTCACTTGGTAATTACCGTCAGCCAAGGGAGAGCTTGTGCTCACATTGAGTGCGATGCACCAGGGGACGTGGACCCGGAGGTAAACTAGTGAGAGTCATGGCTTGAGCCCAGAGCTTGTGACCAAACTCTGAGCCACAGAAAGAGGTCTCAGTAACTGCGGCTTTTCATCTCCCAAACAGTGATTAAGGCACTCAAGGTAAGTGGTTCCGGTGCGTGACCGAAAACTTAGGCGTGATCGTTTGTGTTTCTTATAGCAGGAATCCCAGCTCCGGTGTATTTTGGTGTTTTGATTGACACTTCATGCCTCAAATGGGGATTTAAAAAGTGTGGAAGCAGAGGCTCCTGCAGGCTGTATGACTCGCATGCTTTCAGGTACCAGGTCAAACATATTCCCAGATCTCCATGCTGCTACATTGCAGTTTGTGCAGCATCCCTGAAACCTACAATTCAGTGTGCAATTTCTATGTTTGGAAGACAAATCAACTAAAAGCTGGGAGCTGCTTCATACACCCATTCTATTATTTGATATTATCTTAAAATACATATTTGCCACTGTTAATACCGAATTTCATTTCAAATATCATCATTATTTTATTCTTACTTTTTAAGTTATCCTGCATGTAATAAGTGTCATGAATGTATTAATTATGATATGATACTTTCACACATATGTATCATTATACTTTGTTCTAATTTATCCCTCCCCCCCCAAGTAGTCATTTCTTTAAGTATGATGAAAATGAGTCAGGTAAAATCCCTCACGTCGGAAGTTGCAGAATTGAGGGGGCTGACAGAAGAGAACTAATGCTCACTTGAGGTCAGTCTGGGCTATGTAATATGTTCTAGGCTGGCCTGAAGTTACACAGTTAGCAATCCTGCCTCATAATACACCCCCCCACACACACACAACTTGCATGTATGTACTCACATGAGCACACACACATGACAAATGACGAAAATTCCCTGAATACAGTAAAGTTTGTGCACACAAATGGCAAGACATTCCCTGAAACTCAGATGCATTTAAATTTAGGTCACATTCTGGGTTTAATTCTTTTCTTTTTTAAATTGAGCCAAACTGTACCATTTACGTCAGCACTAATCCCCTGGGCAAGATCTGGATTTGGCTCTCAATCCGTCCGGCTCTTATTGCCAGGTTGATGCTCAATTATTCCAGTACTTGAGATGCATACAAGTAAAAAGCTTTCTCTGTGTGTGTGTGTGTGAGTGTGTCTCGTGTGGAGAGCGAGATTTTCTCACTACAGTGTCGTTCAGTCCTGTCCATCACATCTTTGTTCTCTTACTGCCAAAAGCCTCACGCCAGTGGTTTAAGAGCAGGGACTTCCTTTTCTTCAGACTTACAAGCTCAGCACTTTGTTTCGGGGAAGTGAAACTGAGTCTCCAGCATCAAAGTTGAATATGAATTAGTCAGGCCATCTCAAATGAGATAGCTGTAATAGGCTTTGATGTTATGTGTGAAGGGCTTTTAGTCCATGGCCAAGGCCAATTCAGGGAGTATGATTTGGCATCTGCTCTGATTTGCTCAGGCTGTGTGTTCAATGCAGCGTGGCAACTGTGATGCAGAGACTGGGGGGGGTGCCTACCAAGTGTCCAGGACAAAGCTTGAAGCCTGTTCTTCCTGGACTAAAGGCTTCTCGGGAGAGTAAACTGAGCACCGAGTTCATTTTCAGGCAGTTCTGCTACGCTAAGAATTCTGACCCCTCCTTCAAATTGCTTGCTGCAGCTTTTCCTTGGAATGTGTGGGAGAAATATTTGAGGCAAGGTCACCACGTGACTCAGTCAAACCTTGACCCTTTGGGAAGTTAAAGAGACACTTTAAAAATTATACTCCAAGACAGCAAAAAGCCTGCCTAGGACTGCCCAGGGCAAGCAGGAAAATTGCTAGCCGACTTCAGGGACTCCTTGCAGAGGAAATGGAGCCTATCATATCATTTGCAGTAAGTAGGAGTTACAATACTACTAAGAAATACAGCAGCAAACTTCCAACAGTGGCTCACCAGTGTTCACTTCCGCCAGCCCACTCTAACTCTGTGAGCTTCAAGAGGTCACCATCATTCTGTTAGAACTTGTATTTATGTTTTATTTCAAGTTGAGTAGCTGCAATCCTTATAACTGAGATTCTCTCCTCTTTTAGACACATATACCTGGGATTAACTACGCTCCTGGGAACAGTGTCCATTTTCCTAAGCATGGCTGTGCTTTTTGTTTTAAAGAGAAAGTATGTTTCAAAACACAGCAGCTTCATAACCACAAGAGACGGAGCAGTGGCGTCTTCAAGCTTCAGGAAGGAAACATGTGTCTCAAGGGTTCATGCGCCACAGCCCAAGTACTGGCCAGGCAAGGAGACGCGACTTTAGAGAAATCTGGAAAACAAACAAACGTGGAGGTCATTTTACCCAGTACGTGAAAAGTCTGTAAACAAATAAAGTTATAATCAAAAGGATGACTTCAACATGCAATTTCTCTCTTCTTTCAGAAGTATGTCTTGTGTTTTTCACTCTAAGCCTTAGATGATAGACCTGTAATAAATATCACTAAACATAGGAGATATAGATGAAAATTATTTTAAAATGTCTTATTTATACATTTCTTTTAGTTATTCTCTTGTTTGTGCTTCATTCTGCATTGTGTCCACTGATATGTAAGATGTACTCCTGTTGGGGGGGATGCCTCTCATACCTGATTATGACATGTCACCTCTAAGTTGAACCACCTGTCTAGAATACACTTTGGGTAGTTCCTAAGGAGTGCCTTCAATTTTAGATCTTCCTTGGAATGCAGTAATTGATACAGAGAAGATTCATGAATGAGTGGTCTTGGAAGAGTATTTTTTTTTTTGGTTTTTACGAGACAGGGTTTCTCTGTATTGTCTTGGAGGCTATCGGTCCAGCCCAGCCTCGAGCTCACAGAGATCCTCCTGCCTCTGCCTCCCGAGTGCTGGGATTAAAGGCGTGCGCCACCACCGCCCGGCGGAAGAGTATTTTAATTTATTAGTTTCCCCACTAATCATTTACATATGTTCATTGTGACATTAGAAGCATGCATGGTAATATTGTCATTAATGTCACCGTGCTTTATTGTCTATGAAATCAGTGAATTAAAGTATTTTAAAACAAATGCTGCCCTATGTCCATGTCTGTAGGCGACTTTCTGCTTAGACACAAGGTATATTTGTCAAATATATTTTTTTGGGGGGGTGGACCTGAGAGGACAGGGAAGTGAGCGTGATCAGGCTGCATTATGTGAAATTCCCTAATAATCAATAAAAATATGTAGGAAAAATATAATATCACAGGTACCACAGATTGAGTATACATTTGTGGTACTATGTGGTGTATCTGCGGTATATAATGTTCATGTGTACTATACATTTGATGTATGGTTTATTTGTACTTTATATATAAAACAGTCAGAAATCTCGACCCTCCAATGGCTCATCTTCACCCTGTTGAGGTTGTAGGCTCTAAATGCCATTTGCTTGTCCTGGTTACTCTTTTGTCAACTTGATACAAGCTAGCGTCATTTGGGAAGGGATACTATCCATTGAGGAAATTCCTCCATATTACCGGATTGTAGGCAAGTCTGTCAAACGTTTTCTTGATTAACTACTGATGTGGAGATGTCGATTCCACCTGGGCTGGTGGTCCTGAGTTCTACAAAAAAAGCAGGCTGAGCAAGCCACGGAGAGCTAGCCAGTAAGTGGCGAGTCCCCATGGCCTCTACTTCAGTTCTTGCCTCCAGGTTTCTACTCTGAATGCCCACCCTAAATTCCTTCTGTGATGGAATGTGAACCGAGGGTTGTAAGGTAAAATAAACTCCTCTACAAAAGGTTAAGTTTCTGGAAATCAATAATAGACGGTTTATACACCTAGAAAGTGAATGGTTTAAGCAGTATTATTGCTGGGTGTGGTGTCTTTGGTTTCTACCTGCCACTTACCAGACAAGTGAGAAAGATTCCACCAGGTAACCCTCTGGTGCTCTCCTTTGCAAACCTTCAGTTCAGACCCTTTCCTCTCCCCTGGTATTTCGGCTTCTCTGGCTGCAGTTAGTGAATTTGACAGTCCATGCTCTAATCTCCAAATGCTCATCACTGTTTTTCTTCCGCTGAGCACAGTCCTCGTCTCTCTAAAGAATGCAAAGGCAAATCAGAGAACCTGTAAAGAGGCACCATACTCTGGAAGCTGACAGCCTGAGCCCATCTGCCTTCTGTAAATCTTGGAAGCCAGGACAGTCCAAAGACCAGGTAGTAGGGCTAAGAAAGTAAGACTGGGGTATCTCAGTGTGAGTGAGACACTGGAGTGCCTTGGATTCAGGAGGGCAACACACTTTACATACCAAAGGAATTCTCAAAGCCACATGAGGAATCCATCATTGTGACATGTCAGTCTTACTAAAAACTGACTCATCTTCACAGCACTAGTGATACCAAAACCTGCATTTGATAAAGGGTGTGGCAATGCCGAGAGAGGTTACAAAAACTGTTCAGCAATGGAGAAACACAGCCAAAATGAAATTCCGTGCTACATGACATTGGCTTCCCACCATATCAGCCAGACATGATACTGTGTTCTGGGACATATGCTCCTGTCATTTGTAATGTCTCGTAATTACTTTATTTCATTTGTTCTCATTGCTTCAGGCATAATTTCTGTCCATATATTCCAATATCCTACCAATAGCCAGCAAACATTATAAGTCACAGAATGAATTTACTTAGCATGATTTTGTTCTTGTTTTCCCAAGTGGTGTGTCTTGTGTTCAGGATAATAAACTTTCAATGGATAAAGCCAAAACATGCCACTTAAACCTAAGTCAGGTAATCAAGGACAGGGCTTTAGAGACCTGGACTTCAAATACAACTCTTTATAAGATAATTCTTACACTTGTTTTATTTGTTTGGTGGGTGTATGCTATGGGATACTTGTGGAGGTGAGAGGGCAGTTTGAGGAGGTGGCTCTCTTCACAACGTGTGGGTCCCAGAATGGAACTCGGGTCACCAGGCTTGGCAGCAAGCATCTTTTCCATTGACCCATCCTGCTGGCCGTTGACATACAACTTGAAGTAACCTTTAGAACTTACAGGAAACTTAAACAGGACATTCCCCAAGAAGACTGTGTTTGAAATTGTGCACAGAGTAGAAGTTCAGCAGAAAGGCACCGGTCAAAAGCATGGCTCCTCGTCTTACACAGCAGAAGAATCACGTGGTTCAAGTATGGTGTCGGGTGCCTTTCGCTGTCTCTTTACACATTAGTTTTTGCAAATGTGAATGGGAAAAGATAGGAAGACTGAGAATGAGGAAGAGAGATGTCCTTTAAAACACAGGAAGCAATGTTGGGTCAGGAGAGGCGGTTCAGCAGCTACAAAACTTGATGCCCTTCAAGTGGACAAAGTTTGGTTTCCAGTCCTCGTATCAGGAGGCTCAAGCCCCTCATGTCTATAGCTGTAGGGTAATCTGTTGTCCTCTTTTGACCTCAGCAGGCACCCATATCCATGTGTGCATATACACGCATACACACACACACACACACACACACAACCTAGTCTTTGCCATTTTATTGAAATTTTAGTAACTATTGAATGTTTTATATTTTCATGATTTTGAAAATGTAAATGGACCTTTATTCTGGTAAACAGGTCTGTGTCCACTAAGCTACTGCCCTGACAGCTCCTGAGCAGGAATCCATTTCACCACTGTATCCATCTGACCTGTGACAAAGAGTGAATGGTAGGAGTCCGTGCCTTCTCCAGCTTGTCTTAATATATCGAAGTAAAATTCAAAATTCTCACCCTAGCTCTCACATCCTCCTCATTTTCCAAAGCTTTTTGTAGCAATATCCTAACAGGTAACTTCTTTGCAGATAACTATCTCGACAGAATCTTAATTAATTTACTCTTGAACGATTTGGAAAATCAAACCATATTTTGTTAGAAAGAACTACAGACAACTGAGGAATGCTGAGAGCAGGAGAAATAGCCTATATAGGGAAGAGCTCAACTGGCCACATTAATAGCAAGTACTCACCCTTGACATTATGTCACACAAGTAACATTATACAGACTGATCAGGCTGCATTTATAAATTTGGAATATATTCCAATGTGTTCCAAATGTACCAACAGTTAAGCAAATGAAACCAATGAATTTGAGAGAGAACAAGGGCTCCATTGGAAGATTTGGAGAAAGAAAAGGGAAGGAGAAAATAAAGTGATTATATTTTAATTTCAAAAAACAAATTATTTTATTAAAATTATCTCTTTCATAAAAAGACCAAATGCCAACTAAAAAGAAGAAAGATTTTATGCATAATCATCAATTCAATAGACAGCAGAATTTCATCTATGGAACTCAGCTCTGTGCATAGGAAGGTATCATTGAGTGAGGGGGTACTGAATTTATTAGAAAAAAATACAGATACTTTTATATAAATAAACTCATACCTAACAGAGGTAAGCAGACATTCTGTGTTACACAAAGTACACTTATTTTTAAACCAAACTCAGTTGTGGAATATTACTTGAAGATGTGTTATATTTGTTTATGCTGTAGAACATTTGTTTAATGATGCAAAGATGTGTTGCATTCTTCTATGTTGTATTTGTTCAACTCTCTGAAACTATGTTACTTTGCCTGTCTAAAACAGCTGATTGGTCCAATACAGATCTGAACAGCCAATAGATAGGCAGGAGAAAGGATAGGTGGTGCTGGCAGGCAAAGAGAGATTAAATAGGTGGAGAAATCTGGGAAGAGAGTTTGGAGAGTGAGGAAAAGGAGAAGGAGAGACGACACCAGGGGCCAGCCACCCAGCTACACAGCAAGCCATGGAATAAGAAGCAAAGAAAAGTATATGACTGAGAAAGATGAAAGCCCAGAGACAAAAGGTAGGTGGGACAATTTAAATTAAGGAAAGCTGGCTAGAAACAAACTAATCTAAGGTCAGACATTCATAAGAAAGCATAAGTCTCCATGTGATTATTTGTGAGCTAGGTGTCATGTCCCCCAAAAGCAGAAGACTTAAAAAAAATCAACATTTTAGTGTTCCAGTGTGGGTTCATATATCCACAGGACTGGAGAAACCTTAAAATTAAACAAACAAAACCAGACATGACTCCTTTAGGAAGTTCAGCTGCATAGCAGAGCACTTAAACAGCCTTTTTCACACTAAATAGAAGAAGAAAAAAGCTAAGTAAAAAATGCCTGCCACAGATCAGGGCACTGGCATTTCAGAGTTGGGGGTTAAATACAGTTTCTGGTTAAACAAACTTCCAACTGGGCCTGGAGCTTTAGGCTTGGCTCTCAGGAACCTAGAAGCAGGCAGAGCCAGCATATAGAGCCATGCAGAGGACCCAGCTGTAGCTCAGCTGTTTAAAGTTTAAAGTTTACTTATGGTAAAAAACAATGCTAGAGATATCCAGTAAAAAAGGTCCAGGTAGAAAAAAAAACCCTAAACAGGTTCCTGTGTGTGTAACAATGGTGCATGCTTACGAAAGAAAAGAAAATGGGTATAAACAGTCATAGAAAGAAAGAAGAGTTTATAGATAATAAAGTCTTAGAGAGTAAAAGTAATTAAAAACATATAACATGGGAAATACACAGGGAGTCTGGATCCTTTGTGTTTTGTGTTGACGTTGAACTTTTTGATTGCTCATAAGCAAATGACAGCTCTTAAGGGACCTGGCTGGGACTGGAAGAGGGAGTGTTGAATTAAATCAGCCTGAATGTCTTAGGAAAGTCCTCACACTAATATGTCTTTGTATAATGCTATTTAAAATATGCATTGCTTTATGAGAAGAGGCCTTGCTTTTGTTCTCACTGGGCATGAGAGGCTGCAGATTTCCTTTAGACTTGATTTGGATCAGGTTTGATCAGGGAAGACTAAGAATGAACTAATGCTTACTTATACTTGAGAGTTACTATCATGTTTACAAAGTGGATAATAACTGTGGGTATAATTATTACTTTAAGTACTCTGTGTGCTAAGGGCTTTAGACATTCTCACCTTGAAGGGTCAAAATAATAAATGCTTCTGTTCTTCATTGTTGCCGATATTTTCAGTTGGTAGCATGCCTGCCTAGCTGGTTGGATCTGGTTGGATCGCCAGAACTGCATAAGGTAGTCAT